CAAAAATCATGCACCTTAAGCACAAAAACCACGCACCTTAAGAAGGAAAACCACGCACCTTAAGTATCAACAACTACTCACATTAATATTTTGTAGGAGTGTAATATGATTCTGTATGAACAAGTATAGTGGTGTTCGAAACAAACAAAAATAAATTTATTGTTTATCGTCCTCAAGAATTGGGGATTGAGTTAGCCAATGAAGATTTAGACACAAGCACTAAATGATTTGTGGAAGCTAAGCAAATGGATTGGGGGTTGGGTTAGCTAAAGAAGATCAAGATACAAGCATTGGACGTGGAAGTTAAGCAAATAAGAACACGAAGGAGATATGATAACCATAGAAACGACCTAGCCCGGGGGCTAGGCAGCCGAGCAGTTTGGAGAGCATTTGTTCTTAACCTTTTATGCTCGGCCTCGACGTGGCTCGACCGAGATCCTGAGCCCATAGTATAAGCATCTACCAAGGAATACTGATAACACGAGCCCGATTACTATTGGCTAATAAGATATATTCCTACTCGTGGGTGCCTCTCCCTAGCCTCTAGGACCGCCGAGTACATGGAGAACACGTGGCATACATGTCTTCCTCCCGGCATGTGTCCAATGTCCCCTCCAATCTTCTATAAACACCTCGCTAAATACTTATAGAAGGGACTTTTGGTAACGATTATGAGCTCGGGAACCTCAGGCCTTCAGTCACAATAACCCGAGTGATTGTTTTCAAATATATGAATACCTATACCTGAGTGAATTTACCGCATCATTTTCAGAGATTAGTTACCCTCATTAATCGATTCACATTCACGTTATTACTATCTAATACCTCTGCTCTGAAATGTAAAAGCCCACAGTTCCAGCAAAACCTCTATAATATATACATTTTTATAAGCCAAAAATTAACATGGGGTGGTGGCGCAGTTGGCTAGCGCGTAGGTCTCATAGCTTCTTAGTAATCCTGAGGTCGAGAGTTCGAGCCTCTCTCACCCCATTAGGCTACTTCCACAACGCATTGCAAAATAGAAGCATAAAAAGAATTTCCGTTGTCGGGAATCGAACTCGGGTTTCTTGGGTGAGAACCGAGTATCCTAACCAACTAGACTACAACGAATTTATTATTTTATGTTGTCATTTTTAAGTATATGTATGCTAAAGAAACGTAAGATAAAAGTTAAAACTACAATTTCAAATCCTGTGATTACAAAACTGCTCCTCCTTATCAGACCAATAAATCAGTAAATATACCACCTGAATTAAATATTGCCACGAAAGTCATGATCTTATGCAGACTAAGTCATAATACAGATGCATTCAAAATAAAAAAAAAAGTCATAATACAGATTATTATACTTAATAATATATTCTTCATTGCTTAAAGAGTTAAAGTGAAGCGGCCAATTATTATATTAGCCGGGTTATAAAAATATCACACTTGTATAATTGTATGAGATCGTCTCACAGATCCTTATTCGTGAGACGACGGGTTGTGTCGGGTTGAATCTACATGCAACTGTTATATTTATATGCACAAATGTCCGCCACTAGAAATTTCGTGTTTTCCATCCAACGAATGTTTGGACGGGAAACGCGATATATTGGTCAAAAACGAGGCTTCTGTCTAACATATTACATACTGACCAAAAGGAAGGTTCGGAAAAATCATTGTCGGAAATTCCGTCCAACGAACAAAAATTGGACTGAAATTTCAGAGAGTAATTCATCATTCTAAAACCTGGGAATTTCCGTCCAATCACGTGCATTGGTCAAAAATTCCGTCCAACTACGTGCGTTAGTCGAAAATTCCGACCAACGTTGGACGAAAAACTCACATATTATATTTTGTCATTTTCCTAACAACTGTTGGTAGGAAAATCCTAAATCATATGGCATGTTTTTATTATTTTTGTATTACCATAATTTTATTTATACTTATTGTTAATAAATTATTTGTCATCAACAAATTAATGGACACACTAAATTTCAAACTCAAAATACATTTAAAAATCAAAATTATTTACAACAAAAACTATTGTCATGTCCATAGTACTTCCAACAACAGACTATTACCGTAATAAAAAAAATAAAATAAAATAAAAAGTCACGAAAATATATATTGCTTAATCAATACTACTTAAGTATGCTAGCTACACCAAAATAAGTCTCCAAATGGTCTACCTTTCTCTTTACAAACTGCAGGAATTATAATAAGAATCATGTTGCCCAAGTTCCCTGCTCATATGAAAGCAAGAATTTATATGTTATCATGCACACTCTAAGAGAGCGTTTGGTTCAGTTATATAAGACAACTAAGGTTATATTTACTTCGTAATATAAGATTATCATATTTGCAGGTCCGGCCCTGGACAAGGGTAGGCTAGGCCCTTGCCCAGGGCCCACACTTGGAAAGGGCCCACCACCTCACCCCACTATGTATATGCTATAGAGTGGCAATTTATATCCTGCACCAGGGCGCGCATTGCATTGTGCACCTTGATACAAAACGACGTCGTTTCAGTTTTTTTTTTTTTTTTTTTTTTTAATTTCGCTACCCTGTGTTGGCGGTTAATTTTCTTTAAAAAAAAAAATCTCAGGTTAAAAAATGTACATTATTTTATATTAAAATACACATAATTGTATACATGAATGTACATAATTGTATAACAAAATACACATACTTTAAAAAAAAAAAAAGAAAAGATAATACATATAATCTAACATAATAAATAATATACATAAACTTTTAACATAATATACATAAATTTTCTGTTTCGGATGTACATAATTGTATAAAAAAGATGTACACGATTATATAAAAAATGTACATAATTGTATAAACAAATACACATAATTGTATAAATAAATACCCATAATTTATAAACGAATACACATAATCGCGTCAACTCCCTACATGACTTACCAAAACGACGTCGTTTTGGGAGGCGTGGGACGCACAGTGTTATACGCACCGCGGTGCAGGGTATAACGATTGCTATAGAGTTATTGTATTAGTAATTAATATATATCATAACTTAATTGGTAGGATTCCATGTTTGCATGCAAAAGGTTAAGGGGCGAACTACCATGTGTTATTTTGTGACCTTTATATTTATTTTTCACTCCCTACTATTTAGAAGATGAATTTAGATATATTATTATATAGTATTAAAATTGTAACTTATCACCCAAAAATAAAAATTTTAACTTATATAATTTATTTCTATTTTTAATTTGTAATTTTGTGGTTTTTTTACCTTTCTATAATTATAGTGAGATTTATAATATAGATTGATTTGTAATTTATCTCAAATTTTGAATCTATTTCAATTCAAGTAATTTACTACAGCATGCTCATCAAACGGGTAAACCAAAACGATTCCAACGAATCTCAAAGACTCACATAAATCCAACGAATCACAAAGTTGGACTATTAGCATGATTCAAGACACCAAATCCTAACACGGATACTTAGGACCTCGTTCTAGACATACGAAACATCAAGGAGACACACAAAAGCTCAACAATCCAACAAAGGGAGGCCAAAACATCACAAACCAAAGGGTGAAACCACGGGAAAACAACACCCGCCATAATCCAACCGGTGTACCCCGCGGGTGGAACCGTGGGTGGGTACCTACCCGCGGCTTTGCCCGCCGGGTACACATCTCCACCCGCGGGTGGGGCGGCGGGTGGACAAGTGCCCGCCGTTCCGCCAGCGGGGAACATCCTGTACACCATTAATTCCCTTTGGGAAATTTCATCTCCAAGGTCAAGTTCAAGTCCAAAACACCAAAAATCTCACATACAACAAGGAAATGACTTGAATCCAAGAATAGATCAAAAGATAGCATTTAAGAAGCCTAGATACAAGCTCTAAACATGCATTATCACAAGATCATGCATCAAATCTCACATTAACACCAAGAATCATCAATAGAAGTCAATAATCATCCATAACAAGTAGAAAATAAGTTTTGTATAGCATGTGTTACCTTTGTAGACCAAGAAACTCTTCCTTTCTACACTCCTAAGCTTCAACCAAATCTTCTTACACAACCAAAACCACAAAGAAAACACTAATCTTAGATAAAGACTAGGTAAAGCTAATTAAAAACACTAACTAACCCTAGATCTTACCATTCCTTAAGCTTGGGAGATGGAAATGTGGAATCTTGCGAGGTTTCTTTGCAAGGATGGAGATGGTTCTTCTTAGCTTGGAGAGTATGCTAGGTTTTCTTTTTAGAGAGAAGGTAGAGCAATTGTAGAGAGAATATGGAGAGAAAGATCTTTCTTGTCTAGTGTGGGAAGAGAAGGGGTGGAGGGTGAAGGGGGATATCTTGGGTAGCAAGATAGGTTGTAAAATGTCTAGAGTAACCTTCCTTGTCTTCAAAATTTGTTAGGAAGAACCCAAGGGCTAGGTACAAGGCATAAGGCACAAGGTACCACTTGTTGACCAAGTCAATTGACTAAAGAGTCTAGTCAACTTAGGTCCTCCGACTATTGATTAAGGAATTTGCAAGACAAGAAGGAATTAATTAAGAAATTAATTCAGGTTTAAGGAATGAATTTTCGGGGTGTCACACTTGGCAAGTGAAAACTAGGACACAGTGGGACAATGGCTTGAAAACAATTCAATTGTTGTTGTCCTTGATTCCTTTCAATCCTTTGATCCCATTAGCCATCGGGTATAACTGTCAGTCTATCATATCATTAAACTTTTAGCCCTTTGCATTGATTAATTGAATCAATAGTGCATGGGTGTTATAGTCTTCTAAACATCTTATCTGGACATCTGGTATATCACTCTCCCTTATTCTCATTCTGTTTTTTTATCATTAGTATAGTTCAATAAATACTAATTGGTTATAACCTAACAGGGTAGCTCAAGTGGCAAATGAGTTCTTTTTGTGGGAGAGATTTTGGGATAACCTGGGTTCGATTCCCACATGTGACGATTCCCTTTGGGCTAGCTTCTGTGCCTTTCGGAGTGAACCGGGTTTAAAACGAATGGCTTTGGGTTGGTATGTTGCTCATTAGTTTTAGGTGGGTTGGTATGTTGCTCATTAGTTTTAGGTTCTATTCTAAAATTGAAGTAGCAATTTGCCTCCAATCCTACCTTGACATGAAAACATAGCAATCTAAGCCTTTTTCCCTTTTTTTACTTAACTGTGAAAGTGTAAACGAGTGAATTTGTGATGGTTATATTTAACTGAGTGAATTTGTGATGGTTATATTTAACTTGTGTTTTGACTTTGCACAGGAAGATGATGAATGTTGATTGCTTGCTGAATGATGATTTCTTCTTCATGTCTGTCATTTAGCCATTTGGGCATTTAACTTTTTTTTTTTTTTTTGGAAAACAAAAAACCAACTCATATTAAATATTCAAAAAGTCATCAAAATTGTTGTGTTTGCCTATTTGGGCATTTAAGTTGTAACTTGTATTTTGGTTAATTGTTCTGCTTGCCTATTTGGACACATTTGGTATTTTGGTAGTAATTATGTAAATTGTAAGTTGTAGCCTGTAAGTTACTCGTACTAAATATGTAAGTTTTAAATTAAGTTTGTTGTTGTTTTTTTTTTTTTTTTTTTTTTTTTTTTTTTTGGAATAAGGCTCAAATTATTCATAGAACAACGTAACGTGAAAATGTAATTGGACCACTCAACTAAAAAAAGTGCAATTAAATCATTCAACATTGTAAAATCATGCAATTTCTCCCGAGTGACTTGCAGTAGCAGATTACCAACAAGTAATTAATTAAAATTTTTAAAAAGAAATTAAAAAATTATTTTAAAACAAAAGAAATAAAAAAGAAGAAAAAGATACAGAGACCACCAGATCAGATCCATGGAGACTGTGGGCGGCGACTGCGAGGCGAATGGCGACGACATCAGCAGTAGGATGTTCGGCCATGGCGGTGGTGCTACTCCGATCTCCGGCTCGGCTCGGGGTGGTAGCGCTAATGGCGGTGTTTTGGGTGGACAAGAAGGCGCAGGAAGGACGATGGCGACAACGCTTTCTCTTCTCTTTGGGATGCTCTGCCCTCCGTCGCCGTCGTTGGCGGTTAGGTCACTCCAATTCCTTCCTCTTCTTTAACGTTTAACTGCTAGCTTTTCCTCTTCTTTTTTTTTTTTTTTTTTTTGTTTTTGTTTTTTGTTTTTTTTTTTTTTTTTGGGTTGCTACAGTATCTATAATTTTGGTTAATCGAGAGAGAAAACAGTAGTCTTGTTGATGATATGTGTTTTTTTGCTGTAATTTAGTATTTATGTCCGCTATTACTAGTTTCCCAGTATTTGATGATTGTTTTTATTAATGAAATTTAGAGTTTTGAAAAATCTTTAGTGTTGTAAGGCATAGTTGGGAGAGATTTTCTTCCTCGATAATCTGTCCTAGCAATATATGTATCTTCACGGAAGGCGCCTGTAATTTATGTTGATTTAAAAAAAAAAAAAGCTTTGCAGGGATTGTTACAAGACGGCCATGTCTGTGTGCCCGCCTAGTCCCGCTTAGATTCCGCCTAGGCGCTAGGCGTTGTCCAGACGCTTGACTAGCGCCTAGCACCTACTGCAATCATGCTTGGGACAAATTGTATGTTTTTACAATGTTAAATAGTCTAATTGCACATTTTTTTAGTCACGTTACGTTCAATGGTTAATTTGAGTCTTATTCCAAATTTATTTAAATCCGAATACATCTGAAATCTGAATCCAAATTGTCTGAATCCGATGTTTCAAAATCTGAATAGATTACCCTTTAAAAATTAACGAATAGGACTTAGAAATTACAAACCGAAATCCAAACGAGTGGGCGGTTCCAATATCCGAACCGCCCAAACCCGTCCGATGCATAGGACTACTTAATACTCCCTCCGTCCCATTTTATGTGTCTAGTTCGATTATCGAGACTTGACTGAAGTTATTTTTAATTCAATTTTTAATAATATTAAGTTTAGTACTATTATACAAAATTTATATATTTAGAAACTACACTAAAAGTATTATTAAACACAAAAAAAAAAAAAAATCAAATTTTAAAATAAGTAAAAAATACTAAAGAAAATAAACAAAAAAGAAAGAATTGATTTAACCAATGAATAGTTTCTATACTATAGATCCATAATTTCTATACTATAGATTCATAATTTATATACTATACATTCATAATTTTTATACTATAGATTCATAATTTCTATACTATAGATTTATAATTTCTATATTATAGATTCATAATTTCTATACTATAGATTTATAATTTCTATACTATAAATTCATAATTTCTATACTATAGATCCATAATTTCTATACTGTATAGTTATCAAATTATGATCATGTAGTTATGTGATTTGTGAATATAGAGTTTAACAATTGAAAATATGAACATTTGAAAATTATGAACATAGAGTTTTGTAATTGTGAATATAGAGTTCAACAATTATGAGTTTATAATATAAAAATTATGAATCTATAATATAAAAATAATGAATCCACTTTCGTATGCATCATGTATGGTGCACACGGTTACATAAAAATAATTTACCATGAATAATAAGTAGAACAAATAAAATGAGAGAGAGAGAGGGTAGTAGTTATAATTGATCTAAGTGGTTCATGAAGATTGGCCCAAAATGATGTTCAAATCCACTCGAGCCCCGTTTGAAGTTCAAGAAGGGTAACTTTCATATTTTACTATTCAAACCTACACCAATAAAAAGAAGTAAAGACGAGAATAAGGAAAGTTGTCTAATCATTTGCCACATATCTTGCCCAAAATATTCTCACTCCGTAAGAAATAACCTCGTACAAGTCTTGTATACTATATGATATCAAAAATTACAAAATCAGTACAAAATGGTTGGTAATTGGTTTACCCTGGTGTCATAAAACCCACACAAAAAAAGCTTGTACATATTAAGCTTTAGCCTTCATGAAGTTCAAAAGAGAAGCATTTTAGTAAAAACAGGCTACAGCTGCAACAAGCAACAAGCAACTGCACAATAGTCTACACCTAAGAGTATTTTAGAGGTGCAGTAGCCAGCCATATTAGGGACTCCCTGAAACCTCCTCTGTCAGTTTCGCCTCATCTGCAATGTGGAAGCCATCGATTTTGCGCGTAACTTCTTCTGCAGAGACCTTCACTTTTCCGTTTGCTGTGATTGCATCAGTGTCATCATTCGTTAAGGGGCCTGTCTGCCATATTCTGATGGTTCCGTCTTCGGATCCCGAGGCATATGATTCCCCAGTTGGCGCAAAGCGCACGCAATGCACCGGACCATGGTGACCCTTGTTGCATGCTGCAATAAACCAAGTATGCGTGAGCATGGAAGAAATTAAATGAAAATTTTCTGAATTGGCAAGTGCTTTAAAATAATATCTTTGGGTCTTTTGAGAATGAGAAAGTAGTTACTTTTAGAAAAAGAATAAATAGAAACGAAAAATTTTGTAAAAGTATCTAGATATTAATTTACTCTCTCAAGACACTCCAACTCATATAGTACTCGAGACTTTTTAGTCAAGAACTTGAGAAGCAGATGATAAGAAAAGGAAGGTTAGAATTCCACTTCTATAACTCTCTACTTCTATTTAAAGCAGGTGAGTGACCTAAAATCTGAAACTGACATGGTAGTATTTTGACCTAAGGTTCAATTCGGTAGCCCCCGCCACCAAGAAAACCCAAAAAGATAAGCACCAAAGGCCATACTTCTAGAGGATTTGCAGGTAGAACTCTTTATTGAGCCAGTAATTAAATTGCAAAAGTTCAAATGATTATATAAGACGAAAACAAAATAGACAATTAGACTAGGCATATGTTGTATAGCACGTACCAAGTTCTTCACCAGTATGGAAATCAAATACACGAACCCACATGTCTTCTCCCCCAGCAACAAATTTGAATCCATATTTTGGTTCCAAAGTAGCAGACTCCACCGTACATGGCATGTTGTAACTCTTCACCAATCCAAAGCTTCATAAACCAAAAAGTAAAAATTAAGATTAGGAATCCTGCAAAGAGGATAAATGGGGGGGCAAGGAACAGTGTAACTCACTGATTAGCATCCCAAAACTTAACACTGAACCCATCGGCAGTAGTTATATAACGACCATCTTGACTCACTTCAGCACTAGTAACAGGTGATTTTGTCTCTAGTGTGCGGACTATGTCGCCAGTTCTTACATCCCATAATCTGCAAAACCCAAGTTTATACTTGTAAGACTAAGGGAAGTTTCAAGACCTGCAATAGGGATTTTAAATCAAGATTTTTCTGAAGAGCATTCTAAAGTAACAAAGGGTTGACTATAAGCTGCGTTCCGACAACAATATACTGCTTTCTAACACTCGAACTAAACCAAAATGAAGAGGAAAAGATCTAGAGATGCTACAACATATTTACTCAAGTCATTTATAAGAATTAAGGGCCAGACAATCTCTGGTCAGTGTTTTATAAAATAATATACCTAACACCTCCCATATCAGTACAAGAACTTAATATTGTTTGATCGCTGTGGAGCCATGAGACGGCTCTCACTGAGCCTGGAGACTTAGCCACCTCTCTAGGAGGTGCATCTGGACGGTTCAGATCATATATTCGAAGAATTTTCTCAACTCCACCAGTCAGTAGAAAATTAGTATCCTGAACCAGATAGGTAAAACAAATTAGACAAGATATAGTAAATAAATGATCATGAAACAGAAGGATCCCTTCTACTCAGATCCACCAGCTGCGGAATGCACCTTATGCTACAGTCTTACAGTTATCCTAGATACATACCTCCGAGAAAACACAAGCTCGAACAATGTGCTTGTGCTCAAATGAGTGCAGTTCATCACCGGTCAATGCATCCCAAATTTTCCTGTGTGGGAAGATTAGAAACAAAGACTGAGATAGACAATAGAGGAACATGCTATGCCACTTAACACCATATATATATTTCTTCAATCAACATGTCAGCAAAGGATAATATGCACGTTAATGAGTTCTGACAACGGTTAAGATACCACTACTATTTATTTTTAGACTATGGCATAGATATTTCTGTATCAAATTTAGCTTATATATAATCATTATTCAACTTATTAAGTTCCACATACTATGGCATACGAAAAGCATGTGATACTACACTGACCCAACTTAGCTTGTGTATATGTATCAAATGTCCAAAAAAGACAAAGCAGTCTCACAAAACAGGGTTTTAACAAGAGAACTGTTTGAGATAATAAAGAGATTTAAGCAAAATGCATGATATGCTAAATGTAGAAATTGATAACAATGACTCCATAATGTGCAGGATTCCTAATCCAGACTACTTACACAGTTACACATGGTCCTAAAGAAGAAAAGCACACACAGTTATACCCCAATTTGGGGGCATCAAGAGCAACATCAGGATACTAAATAGATGTAAGAAAATAAAAGACACATTAACTATAGGGAAAGTATAAAATGAATTCTTCACATTCACAGAACAATGCAGAAATTGCAACATACGCAGAAAAGTCTGCAGAACCAGATGCTGCACGCAAAGCATTGGTGTCCAAGCAGCAACTCCACACTGCACCCTTGTGCCCTTCGAACGTCCCAATCCAATCTCCAGTCTCACCATTTCTAAGCATTGGCTTGGAATCTGAGTCATGGGAGGAAAGATAATATGTTTATATTGCATTATTGCTTACTGTTGGATACCCAAAGATCTAGAAAGGTTCCACTTATTTTACTTATTATTATCAAAATACAAAATCAGATCATTATCTTAACATTTTAGGACCACCACTGCCAATAGATAGAGTATACAGAGAAGGCAAACACATTATAATTCAACAAGGCTGGATTACTTCTACCAATATTTAACAGATCAGCACCTTTGCAAACCAGCTACCCAAAAATTGAGTAGAGTCAATCAGCCACCCAAACATTTTAGGACATAATTGATGGAAAATCTAACATAGAAAATTTGATATTGGCTATGTTTGGTAGTGCTTATAGCTTATTTTAAGCTACAAATAAGCTATAAGCTTTGTTTGGTAAAACAAGGAGAGCTTAAAATAATAGTTTATTTTGAAATGCTACCCTAAATAGGGTTTCAAAATAAGCTTTTAATCTTTCAGCTTTAAGCTAGTTTATAAGCTAGGTATGCCAAACAGAGTCATCATCTATGCCATAGATGTTAGCACACTGCAACATCTCCGATATTTTAAGGGAAAAGAGTAGCATTTTTCAATATTTTACAAGCTGCATTATGGAGGAAATGCTAATAATAATACAGCTAATCTCTCTCTCTCTCTCTCTCTATATATATATATATATATATATATATATGTTAGTGGCTTTCATAAATAACTTTGCTTCCAAGTTCTAATAATTACAGAACCTAGATTTTTGTTGAACAAGAATCAGGCACTAGTGCAGAAGATGCAACTTGGAAGCCAGTAGTGATGAAAATATAAGGATCCTCACAAATCTAGGTCAGTAGTTCACAACAAACCCTTCCCTCAGCTGATGAACAAATCATACCAAATGAATTGAATAAAACTTTTGATAAATTATTAATTTATTTAACACTTAATTACTCTTCTTTTTGTCCACAGGATCATATGCCATGTTGATCGTTTCAGTTAGAGCTTAATTATTTGTATACCAACGAGTCACATATTCATCTGCTATGTAGTAAAAACATCCCTCAGCATACCAAAACTAGCACTCTATGGAATCATAAAGATCTTATCACAAGTATGTGTCAAAATGAAATCATAAAGATCTCACAGTTACACCCAGACCTCTCAACAAAGGGTAGGGGGCAGAAACATAAACTATTGAAGAAAAAACACATCTACCATGGAATCTAGGAACCTACCTGGGATGGACAAAGTATAGCGAGGTGGAAATGGAAATCACAAGTAAAACTATATGATGACTCCAAGACTAGTGTCAAGCCTTTCCAATCACAAATAGGTTTATCAAGATACACATTACACTTCTGCCATTTAGTTCTACTACTTGTTTGCAGAATGCACACAGAAAATCTATTTGACACAAAAACAAGCCAATACATTACGCTTTCTTATCTGCAACCTTGCCTACTAATGTTTAACACTGCAATAGAAAATGCATTGCACTTCAATCAAATAAGATTATGAAGATACACATTACACTTCTACCATTTTAATCCTATTACTTGTTTGCAGTTACTACCTTCTAGACACTGCTGTGTCAGATATGCTTCAAGTGCACATCATTTGAGTGTAGAGTCTATCCTTTGTAGAAATCTTTAAATGGATCCAAAAAAAAAAAAAAAAAAAAAAAAAAAAAATCCCTAGGAAAATTATAAAAACTGCTGATTGCCATAAGCACAGGCAAATCTATCAAGTGATAGAAAAGGATTCAAAGTAAAGCAGGCAGGGTACTACAGAATTACCAAAGATGCAGAAAACAGAATAGGCAATGCATATATTTAGGAAAAGAAAGAGAAAGAGAAGGAAAATACATATCATACCCTTGCTAGCACTAATGAGGAAGACCCCATCAGGGGTTACAGGACTATAGAACAAATCAACCACGGGCCGCGAATGTCCATGGCAAACCAAAGGCACCACCACTTTCTTCTTCTCCATTTCTCACCCACTTCAACACCAAACACCAAACACCAAAACCCTAACTCAAACTTGCACCCCTCAGTGCAACTACTTTTTTAATCAAGCTTTTCTGTTACAATATTTTAAAATTTACCAAATCAGACGAAAACAATCAAGGCCCCCTCTTCGTGGTTAAGAAGACATACAAAAACAAAGATTGAGTCTTGAGATCAAAATCTAGAGTCAACATTAGCTTAACGTATGGGTCGAAATCGACTTTCTAGCCCTGTATGAGACTTCAATTTTTTTTTCTTCTCTCTCCCTTGTAAATAAAATGTAGTGTATCTGAAAAATGAAGAATTTAAAGTGAGAAATGGGATTTTACAGAGGAGAGGAAGGGAGAAGGTGTTTCCCTTATTATGGTGTGATGTGAGTTTGAGTTGAGGTTACGATGGCATTCATTAGTCATTATTGGTGTGTTCCGATGTAGTTATATAGGAGCGAGGATTAATGGGCACTGTCGTTTTGCTGTAGTGTGATTTTTTTTTCTCCAGTACATTTTTAATAGATTAAAAATATATTATTTGTACTGAATATATACACATTATTTGATATATAGAAAAGTAATATATTTTTAATACTTAAATAATGTATTTTTTACTTGTAGTTCAAACAATTGTGTAGATTATACTCAATAGAATAATGACTAGTATATCACTCTTCTTTCTTCCCAAACTTCTGTCGGACATCACAACAGAGTAAGAGTGGCGGAACCACAAGGGGGACAGTGAGGCAGCTCCTCTCACTCCCCCACCCCATCCCATTTATATATACAGTAATATGTATAGGTCCCTTTTATATGCATAACTTATAAATATTAAATTTATATAAGATTAAGAGTTAATAACCGATTTGGTCCTCTGACTATTGCGAAACTACCGATTTGATCTCGACTATCATTCTTACCAAATTAAGTCTTCAACTTTACAATTTTTGTCTGATTTCGTCCTCCGTCACTTTGACTGTGTAGCTTCCGTTTGAACCAAGGATAGTAAGGTAAATTATATTGACAACCTTACGCTGACTATTGACCACCTTAAATCCTTAATGATATCCCAAAACCACCGACTGTAGCATTAGTCCCAATGCTCCAGCGCGAACACCTTTTTCCGGGTTTTTGACTGAAATAGGAATGGGGCTAGGCTGATTGACAAGAATGGGAATGAAAATTTTTTTTTGACAAAAAGGAGAAAACCGAGTTTGGGAAACGCGGTTGGGCTGAAAACTGCATTTTCCAAACTCGGTATTATTTAATGTCAACATCAAATGCGGCTGTAGTATAATATACCACAACCGCATTTCCCAAATGCGGTTGTAGTATAAAGCAAATCCGCATTTGGGAAATGTGATTCTCCTATTATATGAGAAACGCATTTCCCAAATGCGGATTTGCTACTGACGGGTCGCGTCAGTCGGTATATGACTGACGTGACCGGTCACTGCTTGATGTGACCGGTCACTGCTTGATGTGCCGGTCGCGTCAGTTGTCCTATGTTTTTCCCATTATTTTTCATTTTTGTGTTGCTCCTTTGTCATTTTTAAATAAAAATTTTAAACTATCTAAGCTAGCTGATTAATTTTTATTTGTTATTTTAAAATTTTGTTCATCTCAGTTGAATCATATGTTAGATCACTTGGTCAGCCGGAATTGCTTGACTTGATTGTTCAACCTCCTGAAGATGTTAATATGGATGATGTTGAGGACTTGAGGCCTTCAAAGAGGAAGGTCATCTACAGTGACGTATTTTGCAACTAAGGTTATTTCTCATGCTTGGCTTAATGTAAAGTTTATGTGCCACAGTAATTGTTGTGCTTGTATAAATTCCTTTGCTATTTGTGTTTTGTGTAGCATAAACCAATGTTCATCAAGCAATGACCGATCACATCAAGCAGTGACCGGTCACGTCAGTTATATATCGACTGACGCGACCCGTCAGTAGCAAATCCGCATTTGGAAAATTCGTTTCTCGTATAATACGAGAAACGCATTTCTCAAATGCGGATTTGTTTTATACTACAACCGCATTTGGGAAATGCAGTTGTGATATATTATACTACAGCCGCATTTCCCAAATGCGGCTGTAGTTGACGTTGGCATTAAATAAAACCGAGTCTGGGAAATGCTGTTTTCAGCTCAACCCCGTTTTCCAAATTCGATTTTCCCATTTTTGTCAAAAAAAAAAAAAAAATTCATTCCCATTCTTATCAATCACTCTAGCTCCATTCATATTTTAGTCAAAAACCTCCTTTTTCCTTCTTCCCATTGTCGTTGACTTCTCCGCCGTAAACCTCCCTCGCCATCCAATCCGTGTCGTACAACAGAAAGGGGAACCACGCAATCCAGTTAAGAGCCGTGACTAAGAGCAGGATGAGCATGAGCCTGGGGAGATTCCTAAAGGCCCCAACAAGTTCCCCGGCCCGATGAATAGCACACGCGCAGGTTATGGCCACCGCGGTTATGACTAGTAACAGGATTGCGGAGATGATGAAACAGCTCTTGAGGTTGGCGCAGTAGACGTCGCATGCATTGGTGTGTGAGAAAGGCACCGGCGGCATAGCCCCCAATGTTCCCAACCCCCATGAAGAAGGGAGAAGAGAGTGTTTGCTTCCATCCCCGCTGGAGAGATCTGCCAGGCCAGCAGCACTCTGCACGGCCCTTGTAGCATGTTGTTGGCCACGTCACTGTTGGAAATTAATGTTTTTCCGACCTCATTCCGACCACCAAAAAAATTAGTCGCAAAAAGTAATTTTTTAAATTTTTTCTGACGAAAGCGAGGGTGGTCGGAAAGTAGTAGGTATTTTCGACCACTATTTAAATGGTGGCAGGAAAGTTTCGTCCAAAATTAGTTTTTTAAAATTGGAGTGTTGTTGCAACCACCCAACTAGTCGGAAATGTTTTTTCTATAGTTTAAAATTTAAATTAGACTCTTAGTCTATTAGAGACATGGTCAACACTCAGCATCAGACAACAACCAACACTCCCCAACCACTAGCCCTAGATCTCTCTTCGCGACTTCTCCTCCGCCATCGTTATTCCGCCTCTCATCGCCAGTCGCCTATTCCCCCACCGCCAGTCGCCTATTCCGCCACCGCCAGTCCGCCTATTCCGCCTCCGCCACCGCCAGTCCGCCTACTCCGCCTCCGTCACCGCCTGTCGCCAGACCGCGTAGACGCCAGGTCGCCAGTCCAGTCCGGCAGTCGCAGCAGCCCTCCGCCTCACAGTCTCAGCAATCCTCCAGCTTCTTTTAGATCTTTCAGGCAAGGCTATTTACGATAGAGAATCCAGAAAACAGTATTTTCACCTGCATTAATTCTTAAATTATAATTATAATTATAGCTTGGCATAAAAAATGTAATTCTGTTAGGATACATCATAAAATTGTTATTAGACTATGTTGTAAAACTAACATTTGCAATTTGAACAGTGACCATTAACTGCGGCTAAAAGCACTCTGGAAGTCATTTTCTATTTTTCTTAAAAGAGTCCAAATGTAGATGTTCTACCAAAATAATTGATTAAGTGACTATGCATATTTTCCTCTTCAATTAATGAATGTCTTTGATGTTATTGATTGCTTTCTCTGGCCATTTTGTCATGCTTGTTATTATTGATTTTGTCATGCCTGTTATTATTGATTTATTATTAAGAACCCTCCAATCCCATCTTTTATCCAATCTTAATCTCAATCAACTCCAGGCTCACAATTCCCCTAATTTATTTCTCATTTTCTAGAGTAGTATGTTTGAATATACTCTGTATTAATTTTGACAGAGTTGGTTCTCCAATGGGCTTGTAATTCCAATTACATTGTTTCTTTTGTGAATATATTGTCATATTATTGAACATTCTTGAAGTTTATCAATAATGAATTTGAGAACTTGTTAAGTGTAATTTGAAAGGAATGCTAAGAATTTTGTGTGATTTTCTTTCACTTGTAGTCACTATATATCTTTTGTGAAGTTATTATTATCAGTTGTTAGAAATGCCATCCAAATTGCAGCATTATTAGCTAAGGAGCATATCTGCGGTTCAACACTGCTAGGACGTATACCCCCCATGTATCACTACTCCTTCAATGAACCATGAAGAACTCTTGTTGCATTTCATAAAATAAATCTAGTTCTCATTTGTTGTCTAAATGTGTTCTGAAGGAGCTTCCCTACCTTCTGTAGGTTTTGGGTTGGTGAAGGGGCTCGAGCATGGGCAAACTCCAAAGGTGTTGCTTTAACAAAAACAATAGCAGAAGCTGATGAGGTATTATTCCTCTTTCCAGTAATGTCTATATGAACACTGTCAAGTTTTGATGCTACATTGATTTGTGGATCTACAGAGAACAGCAGTTCACAGATTTTGATCACTTCATATGGGTGTTTGCTCTTTAATCATCCACAAGCTAATCTGTGTAGCATCCTGTTTTGGGTTCATGTTGTAGTCTTGTAGATGGACACACCTTTAGCATTCCTGGAATCATAGTGTGGTCCTTGTATTAGCATATGGAATGTTTTGATTGTAGGAAGATTTCATTTACTTTAAGCTTATTAAAGTTGAAGAAGTGAAGGTGAAATGGTGCACTAGAGATTCTGTGTATATTGATGTTTTATGATGTAATATCGTCATTAGACAACTGCTTGCCCACTCTTTCCTTGGTCAATGTGGCTTTGTTGTTGTTATAAGTTGCGTTTATTTTTCATGCATAAGCATACAATTTATACCCTGATATGCATCACACGAGGTGCAATTCTCAAATAGGCCTTAGCAGTAAATCCAGTAATCTTGTTTTATTCTTTGTCATGTCCTATCTATATTGGGCTGTTTATGTGATGCTAAAGGAGATCTCTAAAGCCAGAATTTCTGTTTGTGGCAGGTTGAATCTTCCACTGCGGCAAAGACGAAAATGTGTACATGTCTCTATCTTTGTAAATATTTACTGTTTACTATACCAATATACCTAAAGGATAATATATGCTAACGTTTTTCTTTTTAAGCCATCAGATTTGAAGGATTTTTTTTTTTTTTTTTTTTTTGTGAGGGTAAAGGAGGATACTTGGGGTATGCAAGAGAAATGACAGTAAGTTTGTTTTGGTTGCATTAAATTTTTGTCACTTTGTTGCTGTTGGTGCCACTAATTCGACCTTCTTTTAGGTAGAAGCCGATGATTCTTCTACATTAACAAGGATTAACTGCTTTCTCAATGATGCATTACAATCTTCATGTGAAGGAATTATGGTTAAATCTCTTGATGTAGATGCTGGGTATACACCATCAAAGCGCTCTGAAGCATGGCTGAAGGTATTATTTTTAACATGTTATTGTACAGTTTAATATAGTTTCTGTTACTGAACAATCTTTTCAATTTTGCAGGTTAAGAAAGATTATATGGAAGGATTAAGTGACTCCCTCAACTTGTCTTGTTTTGAATTGTGAGGAATGCCCCAACAATCATACAATCTTTCAGTGTGGATGGATCAAGTGGACAACTGATTGAAGCTTCAAATTTTGATCTATCATCAGGTTACGTGACAGACGAAATTAAACTGCCAGTCTCTGCATATACATTTTTGGTGTTTTTGGTCAGTTTTGTGATTTACAAAATAAGCTACTTATTTAACTTTTGTAGAGGCTTTCACTTGATTTTGTTTTTAATTAAACATTCTAAGTTTGTCAATGATGGATTCCTTCTTCAACAAAGGGATCAAAGCAGCCCAATGGTAACCGTTTCTTATTTTTCTTTAAAATTTCAGTTTTTTTTTTTCCATAATTTACAATTTTTATGTGGATTTTAATTTGAATATTATGTGCAGAACAGGTTTTGATTTGCATTTCGATTTACTGTAAGAACTGATTGAAATTACTGAACAAGGTTTTGAATGTGTGTATTAGAATGTGATTTTTCACTTCGAGTTGTGAGTGATGGCAGTTATTCATTTTGATTTACAGTAAAACCTTATTGAAACTAGCGATTCCTCGAATTAAGCATCTAAGGAACCGGAGAGAGATTCAGATGAAGCAGATGCGTAGAGAAATAGCAAAATTTCTTGAAACTGGTCAAGAAGCTACTGCTCTGATTTGGGTAAAAAACATGATTCTTTTTGTGGTTATATATTTCCATTGATTCCATTTCGTGAGTGAAATGATCATAAGTCAAACAGTTCATTGAGGTGGTTTTTTGTTTTATTTCAGGTAGAGCATATTATAAGAGAAGAGAAAATGATGGCTGCACAGGAGATAATTGAATTATTTTGTGAACTTATATCCATTCGCCTTCCAATTATTGAGGCGCAGAGGTAAAGATTTGGTTTTCTGGACTGTACTTTCAATGGAGAAAATGAGTTTTTATTTTGTTCCTAAACCATCTTCATGTCTTCTTGTACTAATTGCCTTTCAGAAAATACTTAATTTGTATGTCTTATAGAATTGAATTGCCCTGCCTTCTTCAATGTTCCAGGGAATGCCCTCTGGATTTGAAAGAAGCGATTTCCAGTATATGTTTTGTTGCATCGAGATGTGCAGATGTTACAGAGTTGGTGCAAGTTTAAATGTTGTTTGCTGGAAAATACGGGAAAGAATTTGTTGTTGTTGCGGCTGAACTGATGCCCGAGTGTGGTGTCAATCGCCAGGTTATACACATTCTGGTTTTATGACATAGCTAAAGAAGCAGCTCAGCTGAGCTTCATATAGTTTTTAAAGGTGTTTTTATTACTGCGTATTTGCAGTTAATAGAGCTATTATCTGTTCGAGCTCCTGGTCCCGATGTGAAACTCAAGCTGCTAAAGGAAATTGCTTTGGAGCGTGAACTAGAGTGGGATCCAAGTGCATCTGAAACTGAATTATGGAAACTTTGTGAAGACCTACTTGTATGCTTTATCTTCTAACCATGTCATTTTGCCTTTATATTTAACGTTTGTAACCTTGATTGTGCTTCTGTTTCTTGTAGAATGGACCAACGCAATTTAATATAGTCAATTTGTCAGTTTTGTCCAAGTTTTTGAAAGTGTATTTCAGGAAAATGCTTGACACAGAAGATCTTGAAGAAGAAACCTAAGAAGTCCCCAAGGATGAAGATGGGACATTGATGAAGGTTTTCCGCCCTGAGGAGATTAGTGCCATGATTCTTACTAAGATGTAGGAAACATACAGATGAAGCTTATGTTAGCTTGGAAAGACAATAAGGATGCAGTTAGTTGTGACCGTTATGTTCTAGGTAAAATTGAGTAATGCTTTATATGGTAGAGAATTTATTTTAATTGAAGTTACATTTGAGGTTGATGCTAATGGCGTCTTGAACGTTAAAGCCGAAGACAAGCCCTCTGGCCGATCTGAGACATCCAATTATCAGCGTTGTGTATCAGAGATCTGGTGGAGCCCCTGGAGGTGGTGGAAGCAGTGAAGACTATGATGAATGATTATTCTTCCTCTTATTATTTTTTCTATGTATGAGAAATTTTATTGATGCGTAGCTAGGATAGGCTAAAGTAGGATAATGTTGTGTATTTCTGGTTTCCCTTCCCAACTGAAACAATTGCTACAATCTTATTAGCATGTTTCGTTAATATTTTGACAAATGTATTTTTTATGGTGAAATAATTGCTACACCTTGATTTAAATGATTGAACAATCTTTGATTTCCCTAAATTGCTAATTGTATTGTAGTGCTGAAATTTGAATTTCAATTGTAACAGGTCAAATTCAATTGATATTTGTAGAATTTTAAATTTTATTTTTTTGTTAGTAAATCTTACCGACCACTTTAGTGGCCGGTAATTCAAATTTTAATTTTTTCTTTGTAAATTTTACCGACCACCAGTGGATGGTAATTTCGATCAATTACCGACCACCAATGGTAGGAAATATGCTCCCTTTATCCGACAATTACTAGTTCCGACGACCTAAGAAAGAAAGTCGGTATTTCCGACCACCTTGACTAGTTGTTGGTAATAGCTAGGGCTTTTTTTTCGAATCCATAAAGTGGTCGCTAAGTTGGTCGAAAACTGCATTTCCGACCGGAAATGCCCCTTTTCCGACTACTTTTTGGTGGTCGGAAAAATGCAGATTTCCAGCAATGCGTCCAGGATCCTGAAACCATATATGGGGAAGCTTGAGCAATCTTCTGGGTCTTTAGGTCTCGGTCCAACACTAACTTCAACTAATATTTCTTGATGTATTAGCTCTCCAGATTCTTTCATGCAAGAATTTGGGTATCTGCACAGTCCAAAGGACTTTGTCTGTCCCATTATTGGTCACATATTTAGTGATCTAGTGACTCATGAAATAGGCCGGCCGGCCAGACTTATGAAAGAAAAGCAATCAAAGAATGGCTTGACAGGGGAAACTCCACTTGCCCAATCACGCGACAGAGCCTGCATACTACTCGACTACCTAAGAGGAATCATGTGCTCAAACGCCTCGTTGCAAGCTGGCAAGAAAAGAATCCAAGTTCAGTTGTAGCCAGGGAATTAGGCGTTTAGATTTTCGTAGCAATAAGACGATTGACAGCTCTGCTAATGATATTCATCTCGCTGTCACCTATCTTTGTACATCAGAGATTCTGAAGGAATCTGAACTGGCAGTCCTCCAGCCTGAACTTCTCCTCCTCGCCGGCGACAACGGCAGGCCGGAGTTACCATACAGAACTACGAAGACGGTTAACGCAGATGTTCTGGCGCTGCAAGACGTGAAGGCGGAGGAGGAGAGAGAGAGATGAAGCCGCTGTCGGATTTGGCCGTCGGGCTGGGAATGAAGTACGCATTTGCAGAGAGCGGCGCCGGAGTTCGGGAATGCTGTGATCTCGTCTTCAATTCGTTGTCGGCAAACATAGCCGGACTGATCTTCCACTGTGTAATTACATTACTATCCTTAATTTAGACGGAGGTTTCACGGTTAAAGAGACGAGGATGAAATCGGGCAAAAATTGTAAAGTTGAGGACTTAATTTGGTAAAGATCATAGTCGATGAGTAAATCAGTAGTTTCGCAATAATCGGAGGACCAAATCGGTTATTAATTCTAAAATTAACTAAAGGATAAGTTAGCTTAGATGGTAAGATAATTAATTTTTCCTAAATATTAGGATTTCAAATCCTACAACATGAATTATGGTGAGATTAATTCTAATTGAATTTTTTATTTATAACATTGTGTTTTTTTTAATCTTATTTTTTAAATATTAATAGTGATATTAGTGATTTATAATATGTTTTCTATTTGAACTATTTTATCTAATTAATTATATTTCATATTTTGTGGAATTTTTATTTGTAACATTGTGTGTTGAATTTTTTATTTATAACATTGTGTTTTTTTTTTTAATTTTATTTTTTAATATTAATAGTGATATTAGTGATTTATAATAAGTTTTCTATTTGAACTATTTTATCTAATTAATTATATTTCATATTTTGTGGAATTTTTATTTGTAACATTGTGTTTTTTACTCATTTTTAATATTAATAATGATATGGGTGCTTTATAATATGCTTTTTATTCAAATTATTTTATCTAATTAAATATATTTCACATTTTGTTTTGAGTATTTTTTTTAATCTCATTTTGATGTATTTAAAATTTTCATCCTATTTAACAATATTTATGACTCTAAGTATTTCTGGATCTGCCCCGTAAGAGTAAGGGAAAGTTTACCAAAAAAACTTACATATCAAAAGTATTTATATTGCTTGCTGTCTGATAGATATTTTTATTTTTATTTATTAATTTTGATTTGTTTTACTTTTAATTATTGGTTTTAAAAAAATGTTTTTTTTTTTTTTTTTTTTTTTTTTTTTTTTTTTTTTTGTAAACAGAAGAGGGTGTAAAACCCATGGGTGAGGACTAAGCGCCTAGCTATGCAAGGCACTGGCAAACCACATCTGCACCAGCGTTATCCTCCCACAAAACGTCCTCAAGAATCTCCGGTTTGTCCAGCAATTCTCTCGCCCCAAGCTCGTGGAGGAGGGCTGTTGCGGCAAGGCGATCTGCAGCCTTGTTCTGGTTTCGTGATATATGGTCAATCGCCAAGGCCTGGAAATGCTGAACCTCATGAACACAAAGCTGTAGGATGTTGCATCTAATGTCTTCCCCATTTTTTAAAGCGGAGAAGCTCTGAACGGTCC